CAAATTTCAAGAACCCACGATCTTTATAACTCTTGATTTACGGCGTTGCGTCACACTCTTACTTCCATATAATTATGAAAATGTTCATACTCACACCCTAGAGAGAATTTTTCAGATAAAACTGATAAGATTCTTCTCGAAATCTTATCAGTTTCTTATCTAAGATTGTTTAAGATTTCCCATCGGCAGTCGTAAGTGTCTTATAAGAATTTTATAAGATTTTCATAAGAGGTTCGTAAGAAATTCATAAGAAGTACCCAAAATTCTTATGTTATTCTTGTTTACTAGAAGACAACTTATGAGTTGGTTTTGGTGATTTCTGTTATGATTAAGTTGGTTCTATTGACTGGAAAACTTCATAAGAATTTTTGGTACTTCGTATGAATTCCTTACGAACCTCTTATGAAAATCCTCTTATAAGACACTTACGGCTGTCGATGGGAAATCTTAAACAATCTTATATAAGAAACTGATAAGATTCCGATAAGAATCTTGTACGACACTGGTAAGAGACTTAGACATTTCTAGACTTTGGCGATAACTTCAAAATTTTTCTCTTGTTGAACATAGCTGTTCAAAGATGAACCTATGACCACATAGGGTTGTGTATCTAATAGGTATGGCTGTCATACAAGAAGCAAATGTAAAAAACTTTCTTCACAGTACTTTGAAACATTCTGGTTCAATTCACAAGATCTTGGCTAAGATATTGAGTGCAAATTCCAAGAATCTAAGATCTATCCAAGTCGACTTTCTTGCTTCATTCGCGACACGTACGCGGAGTCTCGCTACCCGACCGTGTGACATTCGCTTAACTCTTGAACTTGGACTCGAAAGTTCATTTATGCCCAAGAAAACACCTCGTAACAAGAAAAGCACAAAAAAACCAAAGGCATGTAAATACATTGTCACCAAGCGGAAAAGAGAACAACCGCGAGAAGAGAGTACAGAAGAAAAAGCAACAACAAAAAACAACACACTTATATGGATAGGCGAGCGCGTAATGCTCGTTTGAAAGTAGTAACTGTTTGACAAGATGCAACAGTATGTGGCAGGGAATTCCGGTCAAAAAACGGTAGAAAAAAGAAGCAACATGTTCTTTCGATACTGTCGGTCAGGCATGGGCGAGTCCGAGGGGGTACCGAGTTCGAGTTCGAGCCGAGTCCTTAAAAATTCTAGCCGAGTTCGACTCCCAAGTTCATTTCGATTCCGGTTTAGATTCTTTATTGACGAAGGTGGTTTATTTCTTTTTTTTAATTTACTAAGCCCTGGATAGATATTTGATTTTTCGAAAATAAGGTTACTTTGCATCGCAAAGTAATTGGCACTGGACAACTGTGCATGTCCGTCTCCCGAACAAACTTTTCAATTTCTTGTGAAACAGAAGGTGTTGTTATTTCGCTTTTCGTTTTTCTCTGTTCATTTGTGTTAAAAGTTGAATAGATCGGTCTCGAAATACAAAAACTCAAGTCCGAGTCCGCCAAAAAAGCTTTTAGTCCGGACTCGGACTCCCCAACGCCTGCTGTCGGTGTCTCAACCTGCATACTATTCTGACGGTTACTATTCAAACAGTCTGGTCTTTTGACTGCTAATGGTTTATAAAAGTTGACTTGAAAACGGAGAGAGATGAGAGAAAATTTTTAGATGAGAGAAAAAACGGAATAACCGAAAATATTTTCTCCGCGTAGATAAATCTGGCAGCTTTAGTTTGGTGATCAGAGAGGTTACCGAATCATCAAATTTTATAGAGCCCATACAGCAGTTAATTTGATCTAAATCTGCTTTATACCATTTACTATCCTAAACTACACTAGTGTAGTCTAGCCTACTCAACATACATGCTTTAAAAATTGCTAAACGGATCTTTACCGGAGAATCTCCGGCGGAGACTCCCGGACTGTTCTAAACATTGCACCTAAGCGTCTTCTACCTCCGAAGATTACGTCTCTAACATGCTCATTCCATAACAGATTAGACGTTAATTTTACTCCCAAAAGTACTACTGCTTTTTCCCGCTTTATGATCGAGTTATTGGTGAATAAGCTCAGATGATCCGCTACAGAAGTCGCGCTGCTATCGCTAAAAATTCGCTATTGTTGTGGAGCAATCGTGATCAACTCTTATTTTTCGAAACATTTGGAATTCGCGATCGTGATGTGACAATTTTTCTTACGGGAATCGCGAAGTCGCGTCGTGACTACTCGCGGTAGGATAATTCTTTTAGTTACGCTTTGATATCGTGCCGCGATCACACCTTTTTCTTGAGTTAAGATTGGATCGTTTACAGTATCGACGTTTTGAAGCGATCGCGATAGATTCTTACTTTTCAAAAGATTCCTATTTGCTATTGCATCGCGACAATTTTTGCTTATAGACATCGCGTTTGAGTGTTAAAGTCACGTCATGACTTGCTATTGTGACTTGCGATAAGAGAACTAAATCGGAAATTAGCGTCTCTATCCACTATGTTTCACTATTCGAAAAGAGAATTTTATGAGTCTTAGCGTAGCTCGTGATGTAAGTAAATTAATGATAAGGTAGAAATTAAAGTGAAGATTAATTCAGAAATAATTTAAGTTTTTGCTTTAGTTAACTGTTTTAGTAAGAAATATATACATCTTTCTTCTGTTTTTAATACAGTATGAAGAGCTTTTTTACGTCCCATATTCGTGCAGTTGATCCATTGCTTTTTGTTTTTCAAAGAAAATAATATAATCAGAAGAAAATAATCAACACAACAGGACCGATAAATACACAGTAATTTTAGTGAGCATCCGAGCCGACAGAGGACATTTTGGTTACTGACAAAGTTAAACTATTCCTCTCAGACACTTTTAAGAAGCGAAATAGGGTCATCATTCTCTGAAAATGTACTATATATAAAGACTTTACTTGTGTATAGGCCAAGGGGGGAAAAGCGCACTCCGCCACTCTGTGGAGTGCCGGAGTGCCCGGAGCGGCTTGGAGTGACTCGGAGTGGGTTGGAGTACCGCGGGCTTCAGAAATTTTATTGAACTGAACTGTTCCAGAAATCTCTGTTCCTACAAGCAGAACAAAGACGTTCTGTCTGTGGGAAAAGAATTCACAGAACAGAACACAATTGTCCCGTTATCTGGGAAATTCCCTCAAGGAAAGTACCGGATTGTTCTGTTCTAGGAACATAACTGTTCTGTTTCGGGAATCGGATTGTTCCGTTTTGGGGGAACAATACTGAGAGAAATATCATTATTTTATTTTAAAAGAAAACAACGCACTTCGCCACTCCGGACCATTGTACGGAGTGCCGGAGTGCTATGGAGTGCGGTTTACTCCGCGGAGTGGCTGGAGTGGCGGAGTGCGCTTTTTCCCCCTTGGTATAGGCTCTATTGAAAATGTTGTCTGTGCGCAGATTCAGGGTTTCCGATCAGGGGGTGCTGGCCGCTCTCTAACAAAAATTTTGGAATTTTGTGCTAAAACTTTCGAAAACATTTTTTCGCCAGTTACTTTCTGCGAAGCAAAATTTTTTAGCTCCTCCCATCCCTAAGAATAACCGGAAAGCCCGCATAGATCCCAAAGTGAAAATGCACGTAAAAGGTTCATGTCATCACAATGTGAGTATCCTCGGCAGAGTCCTATTACCATGACTTTTTCGTTACCATTTACCATACCATTTACCATACCATTACCATCGATATAATTTTTTTTTACCATTACCATTACCATCATTATGAATGTTTTATCATTACCTCTACCACTACCGTGGTAATGGTAATGGAATTCCCAGGGTAATAGAAAATATTCCCACAGAAAAAAATATAAACACGTGCATAAGCTACAAAATAAAGAATATATAGGATCATGGACTAGCCTGAACGTTATATAACGTTGGACTGTATTAGATACACTAAAGTGATATACGATACCATTTATAATAAAGTTATAATAAAGAGATGGTATGATTATGAACTGGAATCTGAAAACTATCCGTTATCACTACCATTACCGTTACCATGAATTTAAATTTTTGTTAGCATTTACCATCTATTACTAGGAATTAAAATCCTTTTTTTACCATTACCATTATCATGATAATGGCAATAGTAAGGTAATGGAATTTTTTTGTTAACGCAGGACTCTAATCCTCGGTGTAAACTCGCTTTGCCGTTGATGACTTTCAGGATGTAGCGACGATCAGTTCGGTCCTGATTGATACACAGAGGATCGGGTCGCAAGTCATTCCGCCTCACTTGTAGGATGCTAGATTGGCTGCAGCAACGAACTGATCCTAGCGATAATGTCCACGGAGATATATTCTCTGAAAGTTCACGCTTGAATATTCTCTTCATATACGGCAACAACACGCAGATGAACAAAAAGACGTTAACTTTAGACTCACTTTTGTTTTGAGATCAAACTCTAGTTACATATCGAATCAAAGTTGGGAAATATACAGCAGAAAAACTTAGAGAAATCTGAGATTGAAATATTTTTAAAACATTTTTCACAAATTCACAAAAACTCAAAAATTAAAGATAGCTCAAGGTAAAGACCAACTATGAAAATTGCTACGTGCTGTCTTGGATGTATAATATTCTCGAAAAAAAGGGCGAGTAAATCATGATGCATAAATGGGATGCTAGAAAAAGTTACGCTGCTCCTCAGTTTTCTTGCTGCTTCATCTGATCTTTGAGCCTCTGATATCTGTAAAGCCATTCTGTATTAGTGTGGTTATTCGTTTTTTTCTTTAATTTTAAGATTTTATACTTATGAAACGACCTAAGTAGTGGAGTTTGTATGACGGGTGCCAACTCCGCTAATTTTCTCTACTTTGTTGTTTATTTAGCATCTCATTCTGCTCCTGGTAATTTTCTCCTAAACTTCTTCAAAACTGTGTACAAACTAAATAAAGAGGAAATTAGCGGAGTCGGCACTCGTCATACAAACTCCACTACTTATATCGTTTCATAAGTATAAAATCTTAAAATTAAAGAAAAAAAACGAAATAATCACACTCATACAGAATGGCTTTGCAGACATTCGAGGCTCAAGCATTTGATGAAGCAACTATTAAATACCGCGAGAGCACAGTAATCGAGACGTGGGTCGTGCAAATGAGAGTCGTGACACGACAATAGCCAATATTCTAAGATCGTACTATGACTTCGCGAATGGAATATGATCGTGCTATGACACCATGATTTCTTTATGATGACAATAGCGAATGAATCGCAATCACGGATTTAGCCCGATCATTCTTGGACAGCAACAAAACTGCGATCGCGTTACGGGCACCTGTTGCGACTATTTTATCGCGACTCATAGAGTGATAAGGGCAAGAAAGTTGACTCGGGTTGTAACATTCATTTCTTAAACTTACAAAAACTTTTACTAGGGTTTATTTTATTATTATCTAATGTAAGGATTAGAGTTCATATTGGAGGAATTAACCAAGCTGATGAACGTAAATGAATACTTGTTAGTATCTTTATTCCCCTTCCTAGTGTATGTTGTACTTTGTTGGCTTGATGATAGAATAGACAACTATAGTTCATATAAATTGTTCGTGTGCAATAATGGTCGGATACAGTTTGAAGGCTTTATCTCTTCCCTCTATCATAAGACTCCCGAAATTAATGTCTAGCTGTCAATACGTGATACACTTTTCTCAGTTGTACATGTGTGCTGCAGTGCAATTAGATTAGCTATTACTGTTGTTAAGTAACAAAAAAAGTGTAAAGTTGAAAAAATCGGCGTTTCGCTATCGTCGCAAGAGACTGTCGGATAACATATACTAACGATCTTTAGACTTTTTTTTCTGAACGTAAATGTTCGACATATCTTATGTTCAATTTAATTTATGTCATCATATTTTCTATGCGATTTACAGCAAGCATGATAACTACAAACTTTGAGAAAACGACAAAAAGAAATGAACTGCGTGATAATTATCATTTTAATAATCTTCAATGGACCTTTGTTGCAAATATGGCTGATATAGTACCGAATTCGACGAAAAAAGGGCAAGTATTCATTATCCGAATATCATGCGGACTTTTGGATCACTTTGAATTTGATTAAACACCATGTAAATGAACATTGAAAACATCTTTTTTTGATAGCTATTTCCAGTGGACGATAATTGTTGTACTATTTCTATTCTAACAGTAGCATACAATATATAACTAATTTAAAACCAACAACAGATCATAATCATGCGATTAAAGTTTACATTTATGACAAAACAACATTTGTGATTACATTGATTCTTATAGTCATTATCATCGGACTTATTCTATTAGCAATAGCGTTATTTGCATGTTATTTTCTATTAAATCGTTGCCATCAGCGATTATATAATCAAACAGATCGATGTTATTCATCGCTGTGTTTATCAGACGATGAAGAAGAAGCAAACGAAAAATTGACAGATGTTATTTACTCTAAAGGTATGAAATTTTAAAATTAACAAAAATCTTTTTCACTTGATATATCCAAAATGCGAACGTCAGTATAGATTTTTTCTAAATATCATCGATATGCTTACCATTGTCAAAATGTTGAATGTATTTCATTAATTATAATTGCTCAAATCAAAACTTATCAATGAGACATCGATCGATACAAATGGTTCTATCCGATGTCGGTTGAATAAAAATATCGATCGGTTTTTACCGCATTTCTATAGATATCGAGAAAAAAAATTATCCTGTAATTTCTACATAGTTTGAACTTTCATTGACTCAAATACCGAGAAACTTACTTAAAATAAGTTTTGTGAATTAGTAAAATTAGCAATTTAGAAAACGTGATAGGGTTGAATTATTTTTCTAATCGTAGATCTATTTTTTTTTATATCAGTTACAAAAGATTTTATCCTGTAATAGCAGAAAATAGTATTGCTATGCATAATTATCTTAGATTATTGTTTTCATTCCATATTTTAAACACTTATAATTATGAAACTACTTCACAGTCGAAAATTTTATATATCGATAAAGTTCTACATAATCACTGACCGTTATATACAATCATGGATAAATTAATACCACTTCTAGATTTTAAGTTTAAATCTTTTTACTCTTAAATTATAAATAAATCATAGGAAGAGTAAAAAATTTAAACTTAAAGTTCAATGACCTTCTTCAAACGTTATCAACACTTCTAGATTGTTCAACACCAATAAGCATACGAAAGTGTAACAGTCAACAAATAGAAAATGAAAAATATAAAACAACAAATATTGATTGTAATTGTATTTGTACAATACACAATAAGAAAGATAAATCTGGTAAATTATTAACATCTCATTGTCATCAAGAAACGAATAAACATTTTAAAATGCCAATAAGAAATAACAATAAAAATGAATTAATTTCATCGATTTATTCATCGGATCAAACAATGACAGATGTCATTCATAATTCAAGTGACTATACTTGCAAGGAGACAAATCCCATACAATATCATCATCATTCAACAAATCAAAATAGTTTGGTAAATTTTAAAACAAATATTGCAACAACAAACTCTTTTATACCTTATCCAAATACGTCAGAAGATAGTCTTGAAAATACTTATAATTAAGAATGTTTTTCTCTACAAAATATGCTATGTAAACGAAGGTATATTTTTTGTATGCAGCTGTTATATTGACATTATAAGATTTACAATTAGAGTACTGTGGATTTACAAACGATGTTTAGATCATTTAATCATCATTTGACAGGCGTAAACTGTTGTCTATAATCTAGTAATTATTGTTTATAAAATAAATTGAGAGGACCATTGTTCATTTACAAAATATATCATCTATTAATAATACAAAGAAATTGCAGTTATACTACCGTAGTATAAAAAATTCACAAAACATACAAAAAAACAAAAAAAACTTTTTTTAAAAGATTGTGTACACAAATAGATATAAAAGTTGAGATAAAATCTAATCTTCTGTTAATAATTGAATAACGTTTGAGACGGCATGATAACATAGTAGATTATCATGATTTCTTACGTTTGTTTTCAATTCAAATAACATTGGTAGAATATTTGTACTTCTTATTGCTACTTTAGCCTATTCAACAAAAAAAAGCAAAAAAAAAGCTCAAAATATTGACCAATAAGATATATAGATATTCAAATACCTTTTGAGAATCAACAATAAGTGCCCATACAGCTGTTAAGGCTGTATACGACATATCTGACATTTTTGAAAAGAAATGTGCCATTAATGTTGGAATATATTTTGCTTTAAATAAAAGAAAAACTATCATGAAATATTAGACAAAAAACAATTTCAATTTTTACTTACATTCCCCCAATAGTCTAGCTTTATGATTCGGTGAAAATGCTAAATTACGTAAAATTAATAATGTTTGTCGTTGATTAGAAATTGGAGATGATTGTGCCAATCGTATTAAAATATTGAATATATCTGAGAAACAAAAAATAAGTTAGTATATGAGTGATTCGCACTTAATTCAAATGATATCTTACTTGCATGTTTCAAGAGAGCCGTTTGTCCGTCAGCAAAGAAAGAAACATTAATTAAAATATCCAACCATCGTTTATCATATTTATTTGGCTCTTTTGTTAAACGTTCAAAATGATTAACAAAACTTTGTAAAAAATTTGATTTATATAAAATACTTCTTCCTTCAATTTCAATACAACAATTTTGAATAAGATCAAAAGCAGTATCCAGAGAAATTTGTCTTGATAATTGTTTAGTAATTAATTTTAGTACATACGATAATAAATTTGATAATGTACGTTGTTGATCGGCTGATTGTATGGTTAATGCGGTTGTTGACGGTAAAAATGTGGCACATACACTGACACAACCTAATAGAGAAATTTAATGGTTAAAAGTTTGCCAAAAGTAAGACCATCATAGTTCTACCTTTTCGATTTTTTGCCGTGATTGTAGCCAACACAAGCAAAATGGCGTTTAACAATTGCACATCAACAACTGCCCAACACCATATTTGATGAATATATGATATTAAACCACTTGTAGCAAGCACTTCCTAGAAAATCAAACAGTTACAAGTTTTACAAATAAAAAAATATAGAATCGATATGAATAACGTTATTTTATATTAAAAAACACTATTTAATCAGATTACGAAATATAAGGTGCGTAAATCTAAAACTATGAAGCAATTACGAATTTTAGACTATACTGTTTATCATACGTATTGTAAGAGTGTTTACTGTTTTGTTCTTTTTTTATTTTATTCATACGTTCATCATATGATTCTTTTGAACATAAGAATATGTACCAATTGAAATAATCTTTACTTTAAATGAGTACCTGATTAACTAAATATTCAAAGTGGCTGTTTCGTGTTATTAAATGACTTTTTTGTAAATATTGTGTGTATAAAGATTCTCTCGTCGCATGATGTATTCCATTCGTTTCTAATGCATCCTTTATATATTCAGAAAAAAATAATAAAATAGAAAAGAAAAGAACAAAACAGTAAACAATATAGTCTAAAATTCATAGTCAGTTTGTAGTCATAACTGTACATTCGCCTCATATTTCGTGGCCTGATAGTGATGAGAGATTCGTATTGAGAGTTCGCTCAATAATAATAAAGTTTTTTGTTACAAAACAATGATATTCATAACAGTTTACACATCATTGAATACATTTAGGAGCGGGTACTTATTTACTCATGAATTTTTGGTAGTACTTAGCAAGTACTTGACAAGAAGATAAACTAATCCAAGTAATTGATTTAATTGCGAAAAATCTCAGAAACATTGAACAAAAAATGCGAGAATATCTGGGCAAATACTACTATACAAGTACATTTACTAGGATATTTTCTTTATTCGTTATTGTTCTACTCTCTGACTATAATTCTCTCTACTAGACTTTCGTCTCTTAACATAAAAGAATTTTGTCGCCGGCAAAGAGTCTTACTTTTGCCGCCGTACAATCGTATGCCATGTTATTTAAGATTGTGAGTACTTGTATGCATTCATCGATAAGAACATCATCCTAAACGTAGTAAAGCAAATGCTATAACTATGCATATCTATCTAATCAAAACAAAAAAACTATTTACTTTGCCAACACATTTATCCGTTTGTAATGAGTATAATGTTAATTTTGTTTGAACACGTTTTAAATGATCCATTTGTGATTCAATGAAACCGTCTATAAGAAAATACAATATATATTTGAAAAGTAAAGAAAAAAAAATGTGAAATTTTTTTCTTTTATTTTTACTTTTAATTGCTTCTTGTTTAGCCGTTTGACTAATGTGTAAAAGTGATTTTAACATGTTTGATACGATCAGTTTATACGTATCAGTTGATTCTATATTTAATAAACTTTCATAAATTGTTAATAATTGATTAAAAATGTTTGTTCCATTGCCTGTTAATACATAGAATATAAATGAATAGTAAAAACTAAACAATATAATTCTTACTTATGGTTTGTATATTAGTTTTATCAAAATAATCTATCCATAATTGTTTTTGTTCATCTCCGACTGACTGTGCAATACATAATGCTAATAAATGTAAAATAGAAGATATTGTTGTATTTGACGATGGTGATGATACATTTGATAGTGAGATAATTTCTGTAAATGAGACATAAACAATTAAATGATGAATATTTAGAAATTGGAGATATATACCAAAGAGACTTGTTGCATATTTAGTTAATACATAGATTGTTAAATGACGTAAATTTGTTGAACAATAAAGAAGAATATTGGTTAATAATTGAGATACATTTATTTTTGTTTGCCAAAAATATTTTAATGGATTATAATTTTCTACAATTGAGGAAAAAAAAATATTATTTAATTGAAATATTGTACACGAAATCAGACATGTTCAAATGTCTCTCAGACAAACAAATGAATTTAGTAAGATCGAATTGTCTGTACAAACCTTTTTCATTTGTATATCCTAGTAAAGAAACAATTTGTGTAAGTATATCAACGGTAATATAATCATAATTGTGGACAGATTTTGTTGAATCTATATCATAGATTAAACATAAAAAATTTGCTATTGCCGAATACATATAAAACATTTCATCTACATATGATTGATATTCATTATCACTAATTATCTGTTGATCATTTGAACTCAACGGTCTAACATCCAAAAATCTAATTTTAAATAGAATATTAATAAATTTTTGTTGTTTTTATAAAAGTATACATAAAAACGAACAAATTAACTTACGTTATTAATACTCGAGCAAAATTAATTGTACGCTTTTCATTCTTATTAATAATTGTAAATTCTGTTGATGAAAGCATCGTTAAATTATATAATAATGAACAAATATTACCAAGTAACATGGGAGATGTAAGTGATTCGGATGAAAATATATTATCATTTTCTATTTGTTTATCTTCTTGTGAATTTTTAATACGTAAATCATTTATATTCAATGTAATAAATGGATAAAAATTTGACATTATAATTGAGCCAATTTTTGTAAAAAATTCTATTTCATTGATTACGCATAATAATTCTGCAACTGTTACATTGTTGTTCTAAAAATTTAAAAAAAAAAAGGATAATTTTAATTATTAGTAGATTTCAATTGTTTTCTTTCTTCCGACTTACGTTGGTCATTGTTGATTCATCTATGATCATAGAATCGGTAATACTAATCAAGACGTTACAAATCTGTTTAAAAAACAAAACTAATTTTAATGTGTATGCAAATAGTAGAACTTATTTACCTGTTCTTTAACATAGCTACATTCATATTTGTCTAATAAAATATTGAATAACATGTATAATAGGCGTTCTTCTTCATCGGTATCACCTCTAATGTCATTTGAAAATAAAATTGTTCGTCCACTCGGTTGACTAATAATACTGGCTAATAATGCATACGATGTTGTTCGAACTTGAATATCATCATATTTCCATAATGGCTTTAACCATTTTAAAGATGTTAAACTTTGTAGCCAATTATTCAAACTAGACTAGAATAAAAAAGACGGCACATATGTAAGTTTTGTTAATAATAATTCTTTTCATCTTCAAAAAATGATGTGATAATTTATTTTCTAGAATTTAAATTGTGATAAGCAACATACCGATTCATTAGTTAACTCTTTTCGATTAGACACCGATGCTAGATGTTTCATAGCAATTAATACATTTAGTAATGTTTGACATGTTGTTCGTGTAACAGCATGTGCCATAAAAGCAGATGATGCTTCTTTTCGTCCCTCATGAAAGGAACAAATAAGCTAAAAAAAAGATAAATATCTAATATCTATCAAGTTTATCATCCATTAATAGAGATGTCAGAATATAGTAAAATATCATAACGCCAATTTTGTCTTAATATGGCAAGGTAATAAGCGACTGTTTGTAACGCTAGTTACTCTTCTAGATTTTCATCGCTTCAATCCTTTTATCATTTCATCCTTTAAAGTTCATCATGGTTTCATTATTGGTAGGATCATCCATGAAGCATTTATGTAACTTTTTGTTGTGAATAGCTGTGATGAGTGTTTTGTGCAACTGCTCCCCTGACTTCCTCTGAAAGAGGAAGAACATGAAGTGAAAGTTTGTAAAGGGAGAAATTGCTAAAAAAATATGAAGAATTTTACCCATCCCATACCCTCCGTCTCCTTAGCACTTGCGGATCCAATCTCACCTTAGTCCATCACGTTTAAATAGAGAAGTTACACTTTAGACCCAAGGTCTGCGCTGATAAACTTTTGCCATTAGATTTACCAGACTGAATGTATGATGGTATGAAAAGATTGAAGAGGTTAAAGAGTTCGACGGGATAAACATAGAAACGTTTGAAAAAATAAAAAAGATGGAGTGAAGAAATTTAGACGATGGTAGGAGGCTGTATACAGTTGTATAGAAAAAATCTCATTAAGCAAAATTGAAAAGATTAAATGCATCAATATATCTAAAGAGAAAAGTTTTTCTGAAGATTAACAGCAAAATCGACGTTTATAGTATAATTCTATATTCTGACATTCTTCTGCGTTAACATACATCAATTAACAAATTTGCTATTGTATATAGTTGGTCATTATCGAATATAAGCCACCATTTATCTCTATTTAAAAGAATCATAGAAATAAAAATAAATGTAGACTTTATTTTGAAAATTATTATACTTGTTTGTTATTTGTTGTAAAACGTCAATGGCTCCTAATATAAGTGCTAATTTTGAAAATGTATGATTTGTTTGTTTAACATAATTTAAAATATTATTGAATAATTTGTCAGTAAAACATTCTGATGTAACAGTTGAATGAGTATAATATACTGATAAAAAACGAAAGAATTTTTTCAACAAATCCCTATAAAATACAATAATAAGAGTAAATCATTTCTATAATCAACTAAATACTACCGTTTTGTCTGTCTTGTATCACACAAATCTCTATTTAAATCTAATATTGATACTGATGGATTCAATAAAACATGTTTTATCCAATCAAAATAATCAGTATGTGCCGTTGATGAATTTAAAAAGCATACTGAAATAATTTCAAGTGTTTCAAATATTGTTTGTAATAGTTTTTCATCGTTTGATGATGATGGAGCTATATTGAGATAACTCAAAAAAGAAACAGACAAGGTGAGAAATAAATAAAAAACAAATATATCTATGATTATTATAAAAGATAAAACATACTGATCAAGTAAATTTCCTAATTGATTGTATTCAATTAAATGAACATTATTATTTGATAATAATAGTAGACAAGTTAATCCTTGTAATGTTTCAATTACAGATGAATGATTTTCCGCTTCACTAAGTAATGATAATTGTAAACGTATTGTTCGTCTAGGATAGGTTAATGAAAAACATTTTCGATCAGATTCAGTTAAGATCATCGACGATTCAAAACTAGATAAAAATAAAAATTATTTATTATTTATTGTATTAAAAAAAATAAAACAACGTTAAAATAATTTGTTAATAAAACTTACTCCACTTGCATATCTTTTGAGTAGGAACTCGTATCCATATCATTATCTAATTGATCAATTGAACCATGCCATAAGACATTCCAAAAAAACCGAAATTTTTGTTGTACAATTGGTTCACATAATGGATCAGGTTTTTTTATTGTAGTTGTTGTTGTTATTGATGATGAAAGTGACGTATCGAGTTGAACACGAAATGGAAATTGAAAACTAAATAAAAAATGTTCATAAATGTTAAATTTGTATCAATTATAATTTTAAAAGAAAATAAATTACTTACTATTTTGCCATTAAAAAATCTACAGAAAAAGATTGTGAGGAAACTTCTTGATCCGAATTTAATGTTTTATCAAATAGTAATAATGTCAATATATGACCAATATTATAACATATTTCAATATCATCATGACAACATACGGCAACTAAATAAATTATAATTTTAATTATTTATTGAGGAGAAAAATGAGATTGATTACCTTTGAACAATAATTTCATTAGATCATTATCATATGAAAACTTTTTTTGTAATTGACGATTGTACTGTGTTAATAGACGAATTATTTTGACACATGATGTAATAGTAGAATGAAAATCATTCTAAAAAATACATATAATATTTTAGAATATTTTTATTGATATATTTTTTTCATACTGTTGTTACCTCACAAATAATAGAATCTTTTTTTAAATTATTTTGAAGTTCTTGAAGAATTTTTTCGAAACCACCATGTGTTAAAAATGATGTATGTAATGAAGGATCTTGCAATATTGTAGAAATTTGATCGAGTGCCGATTTTCTTACACTTGAATCAATTGTATCAGTTGATGAAAATATTGTATATACTCGTAAAAATTTTTCAATCTATAAAGAGTCAGGTGTAGAGATATTTTATTACAATATAAATGTGAAAAAATTTTATTTCAATACGACGTACATTAATTAATTCTTTTGATTCGATAGAATTATCTAAATTTGATGGAAATTGTTTTATAAATAAATCACATACATTATCAGCCGAATAAAGTTGATAAAAATCATCTAATCTAATTTTTGTTCCATATAACAAGTAGCCCACACATTGTCGATAACCTGCCTTTCTTACACTAAAATAAAATAAATAAAATAGAATAGACTAGAACTAATTTGTTAGAAATAAAGGATAATCCTATCGTACTCTTTATCTTTTGAAAATAAATATCTAAATGAGGCTTGAAGGCGTTGATTTAAAGTAAATATTGATTGTTCAATATCAGTATCTGAGGATAAATGTAGGATACATTGGCCAAGTGGATCAATTTTACTACTATAACACTAGAAACGAAGAAAAACAAAAGTTAATGCAAAAAAGAGAAAAGAGAATAATGGAAACAACGAACCTGTAGTTGAGGTAATACTAATCCAATTATTGTTATTAAATTTTTCCAGAATGTTTTTGATACAAGAAGTTTACATTGAAGTAAATGTAATAAAATTAAGCGTGAATAATCGGATACCTAAAAAAAAAGTAATAATAACATTAGTTTTTATTGTTGTACACTGTTATTGTAGAAAAAAATATTTCGTCGTCTTTCTTAGTTCGTAACGATGTTCTAGACGCAGTCAATAGATTGTAGACGAGAATAAATATATGTTCGTAAAATATTTATATTAAAAATAATTTTATTTATATCGATCTATCTTTTCAAACACAAAGTAAAGTGAAAATATAATACAAAATTGTAGAGAAAAGACGAAGAAAATACAAACATCTGATTTTACCTTTGTTGCTAAATCATTCATTCCACTAATTACAATATCGGTTAATAGACGAATATTAATTAAAAATTGTGTTTCATCATAATTTGCTGCTGTTGAATTAAAATGATTTGAAGCTAAATTTTTTTTCGGTTTTGTTGTTTCATCAATTGATAATCGACTCTATGAAATTAAAAAGTAAAAATGTCCAAATACAATCAACTAATCAATACATGATAAGAGTTTTCACTCACTGTTATAAGCATAGCTAATGAATGATAGACTGATGTACGAATTTGAGGTTGTTCGTGTTTCATATATTTTAATAATATATCGATCGAATGTTGTTTACTTGATTTATCATATATTGAACTTTCCATATGTCTGTAGGAAAAAACCATCTCTTATTGAATAATTTAACAAGTAAATATTCAATACTTACAAACGAGAACAAGCATTAATAAATCGTTTAATAACAGTAAAATTATAATGATATGGTATGCCAAGTAAAGCGACATCTGCCAAATTGATAATTTTCATTGTATTCTATATCGAAAGAAATAATAATACATTATTTACGTACGTAGAAGATTCTATTTGACTATTACATACTTGTGTATCATTTTCATTCAGTGATAACAGTTGACAAGCACTCGTAAAAGATTGACAAACATTGTCTGATTCAATATAAACATGATAATTATCGGGATCAATTTGTTCAGCTATTTTAATAATACTATTTCGTAATAATGGATAGGATATATGAAAACATTCATCCATAAGGATATAATAGAGAATTTCATTAAATTCTTGTGGAAGTTGAGATGATAACTAGAAAAAAAAATAATAGAACAGAAGCATTATATGTTTTAGAAATTATATTACTTCATTTGAAAACGGCATGGTATTAACGAGTACACAAAACACATGTAAACAATGAACATAAATAATTCGACTTTGAAAAGTGTTTCCATTAACTAATTGTTGTTTAATCAATGAATGTAATCGATAATAAAACATGGAATACAAATCATACTAAATAAAAAAACAAGAAGTAGTTTAGACGATTAAAAATTCTTCTGACGAGGGAACCGCCCCAGGTGTCCGGCTCCGATTTCGTTCGTTCATACATCATTCGATAGAGGACCTCGAGTAGGCAAAAAGGCTAAAAGGATTTGGGCGGAGGGCCCTTTAAGACCCG